ATAACATATAAAATAACTTCTACTTATCAAAAAAAAAAAAAAAAAAATATATATATATATATATATATATATATATATATATATATATATAATAACTTCTAATTATTCTAATTCCTAAAATATATAAAGGAAACCTAAAATCTATCTTTCCTTGCCCCTTCTCCAATCATATGTGAGAGTCATGTACGGCTCATGCATACGGATCATGTCTTGATCTCCATAAATTAGTGCGGGCTCATGCATACGATGTAACAGAGCCCTTCGCATTCTACATCAGTTTGCTATTTGGATATCAAGACTTATTTACTGCCTCTAGGTCTAGATCAGACCTTGCACATACGCTAGGGTTATAAGCACTATTACTCCTTCAATAGTTCAATTACATTTCTTACTTATCATAAAAACTCTTAAAATCCATAAACCACACTTCTTTTTTTATTATTATTTATTAGACATTAAAAAGTATGGTCTAGATGTGAGGATGTGGTGATGATAATAGAGCCAATAATTATTGAGTGGGCTTCAGTACATGTTGTAAATTGGTGTTTTTGATAGTATGAATATGTTTATTGTGAACGTAATTGTGCCTTCAAGAGAGGAGGTAATGGAGATGATTTATCGTAGTGTGTTTGCAATAGTGAAAGTATTGGCATTAAAATACATATATTTATTCTTTCCAGAAAAAAAACAAAATAAAGAGAAGCTAAGCTTTTGTGTGAAGGAATTCTTAGTATTTGCTCCCTGCAAAAAGAAAGAAAAATTGAAGTGGAGATCCATGGATTGTTTGTAAATTGGATGTTGAAAAAGCGTATGACCATGTTTGCTGGAAATTTTTTTATGTATTTGATGGTCAGGATGGGGTTCGGGCAGAAATGGAGGACATGGATCTACCATTGCATTTCGACTATCCGCTTTTCAGTCTTGGTGAATGGGTCACCAGCAGGTTTCTTTGCTAGCTCTATAGGGTTAGGCCAGGGAGGTCCGCTCTCACCCTTCTTATTCATTATTGTTATGGAGACCTTCCGCAACTTGATGGGGAGGGCAGAACAGCTTGGCTTCATCCAAGTTTTTAAGGTGGGACGCATTCCAAATCAGTTGGCCATCTCCCATTTGCTCTTTACAGATGACATTATTGTTTTCTGCAATCCTAGTGTTGCCCAGCTGAGAAATTTGAGGTGTATCTTGGCTTGTTTTCGAGTTGCTTCGTGGCTGAAGATCAATATTGGGAAAAGTGAGATAGTTCAAGTTGGGGATGTAGAGTTTATCCATGAGTTAGCAGATATTTTGGGGTGTTGAGTTGGGTCGTTTCCAATCTCCTACTTAGGGCTACCTTTGGGAACCACGTCGAGGAGGGTTTCAGTTGGGGACCCGGTTGTTGAGCGCTTTCAGAGGGGGCTTTCAGGGTGGAAGAAACAATACTTGAGCAAAGGGGGAAAGCTTACTTTCATGAAAAGCACCCTTTCGAATCTCCCTACCTATTTTATGTCCCTTTTCCCGATGTCCATAACGGTGGTTCATAGACTGGACCAGATACAGCCAAATTTTCTGTAGGGAGGCATGGGAGACGAGTTCAAGTATCAGTTGGTCAATTGGGATGGAGTATGTACCCCTATTAGAAAAGGAGGTTTGGGGATCCAAAAGTTGGAGCTGTTTAATAAGGCACTGATGGGTAAATGGCTTTGGACAGATGGAAGGGAGAGGTCTTATCTTTGGAGGCGTGTTATTGCATGCCATTATGGGGAAGATTTTGGAGGGTGGACTCCTAGGGAGGTGAGATCACCAGCGGGCATGGGCTCTTGGAAGCTTATCCGGAAAAGATGGGATGAGTTCTCCAAACGGATCCGGTTCAAAGTTTGGAGCGGAAGTCATGTTTGCTTTTGGGAGGACCATTGGTGTGGGGATTTTGCTCTGGCTCGCAAGTTTCCTCGTATTTTCAGGATCACAGTGAATAAGCATGCTATGGCTACTGACCAGTATCAGCTTGATAATGGGAGGGCTTCTTAGGATGCGCAGTTCCGCAAAAATTTTAATGATTGGGCCTTGGAGGTTGCAAATGTTCTGGAATCGATCTATATGCAGGTGGTGGAGGGTGAGGGTATGGATGAGATGGTGTGGTTGGGCACCTCTGGAAGGGCATTTGAGGTTAGGTCGTTTTACTGCTGCCTTACAGAGCCTTGATGCCCCATCTTCCCCTGGAAAACTATGTGGAAAACTAAAGCTCCATTGAAGGTGGCCTTTTTCACTTGGACTACTGCCCTTGGAAGTATCCTCACTCTTGACAACCTTAGAAGGAGGCGTCATATTGTGGTGAATTGGTGATGCATGTGAAGAAGTCGGCAGAATCTGACAATCTGTGAAACATCTTTTGTCGCATTGCCTCGTGGCAAGGGATGTTTAGTCTATCTTGATCGTTTTTGGTGTGGATTGGGTTGTTTCAGGGTCGACGGTTGGTATGTTCCAGGCTTGGAAAGGGTGTACAGTGGAGAGCCAAGTAGCCGAGTCAGAGATGCTGGGAGTGCCACTCCCCTTTGTATTTGATGGGGGTTATGGCACGAGAGGAATAAGATATCCTTTGAGGGCGAGGAGTCCCCTATTTGGTCTCTCAAGTTTAATATTCTATCTTCTCTCTTTTTTTGGGTTAATGAGCGGAATTGTATATCTATGGATATTCTTTTGGACTTTGTAGATAGCCTGAAATTGACTTTGTCTATTCTTTTGGACTAAGGCCTCAAAGAATCCAAAAAAATAATTAAATCATCGGAAGAGGAACATCTTCATGTAATTGAAAAGAGAACGAATAATATGAAGTTCTAGCGTCGCCGTGGACGATTCCTTTCATTCGAACATTCTACTATTCCTCTCCTTCCAGATGCACCACCAAACGCAATGTGGGACAATTCTCCAATAATTACGTACACCTATACTCACACGACATCCTCTCCAAGCTTGAATCAAATCCTTCGAAGAATGTGGCATTTCCCAACGCATACCAAACAACCCAAGAATAAGATTCCAACAATCATACGCCACAGGACAATGCATGAGGATATAATCAACTGACTCACCATCTTGCTTGCATAAACAACACCAATTAATAAAATAGTTACCCCGCTTCCTCAAATTATCAATCGTCAGTATCTTAACCCATACAGCAATCCAAACAAAGAATGCCACCCTAGTTGGAGCCATAGAACACTAAATGGTCTTCCACGGGAAGTCAAGACTAACAAAATTAGATAGAGATAAGAACAAAGATCGCATTACGAAACGACCATGGGAAGAAGGAATCCATATTAGTTCGTCACTACCTTTGCCAACTGCCTTCTGCCTATACAGCAAATCCAGAAGAACACACACCTCGTCCAGCTCCCAATCCTGAAAGGAACGCCTAAAGTGCACATACCACGTAATCCCACTACTATCAAGCAGATAACAGTCAACTACGTAGGCATGTCTATCAACTGCAATACTGTATAATCTGGAAAAAGTACAAGATAATGGTTGGTCACCACACCAAAGATCCTCCCAGAAACAAACACATCTGCCATCACGAGCTTTGAACCTGATATGAGTAGAGAAAACATCCCATCCCTTCCGGATGGATTTTCACCCCGACTCCTCCCGCAAGATGAACCAGACCGGTACACTAGCCACCACTCTCTTCTCCATACCGACATGAAACTAACCTTCGCCAAGGGCGATGTCTTTCTCTCCCGTATCTCCACAACCATTTACCCAAAAGAGCTTGATTAAAAGAAACCAACCTTCTAATACCAAGACCACCCAACTTCATGGGCTTGAAAAATTTCTCCCATCTGACAAGTTAATACTTGAAGTCTTCGCCCCTTCTGCCCCAAAGGAAATCCCTTTGAATTTTTTCGATCCTATCAGCAACAGAGCATGGAATTTGGAACATAGATAAAGTTACCACCTTGTGGATTCAAGATACCCTATCTTGTGGATTCAAGAGAACCCTCGTTCCATGTGAACGTTTTTATCGCTTCTGCTACGTTAGTTGGTATCAGAGCCTAATCTGATGACGATTGCTCGTTTTGGTAGCAACAGCTCTTGCGACGATGATCGGAGAGTGCAGGTCCTTTGGGCAGCCATTGATGTTCGAGAACAGCAAATGGATCAGATGGAGCGTATGGTACTGCAAATCCGACATAGACTCGCTGAACTTGGCATTGGTGACAACCAGGATCAGTAAGTAGTTCGAGTTCGCGCCGATTATGTTCCTCGCGGCCAACCGAATATAATTGACATTCCTGTACCTTAACGTAGGCTTCCGGCCTATGACAATTACAAGAAGAAAAATAACAACAATTTTGTAGAAGCAAATGGTAATTTTCAAGAGATTGATCAGAAGAAAAATCATGTTGTTTGGCCTCTTGTAATTGAAGATGATAAAGTTAAGAAATTCAACTCAGCCAAAAAAGGAGATTGCATGTGAACGTATAATCGCTTCCGCAACGTCATTAACCCAATGTATCACTGTAAATTTAAGCAATTTATTAAGCAGAGCAAAATTGAATATCTGCATTTTGCAGAAGCAGTATATTTTACCTGTTTTAGGCGTTGAATACTGAATCCACACTTTCTGTAGTTTGTTCTTTCTATTCTTAAATTTAGCTACTACATATATTTAACATATAGTCAAATTTTCAACTGTAAGCAAGGACAAGTTTAGGATAACTAAATGATTTCTGGAAAAAAGTTGAAACAAATAAAGAAATCAGACCCAATTATCCATATTTATGAATAAATTCAGACACATAAGACAAATAAGCAAAAGGCCATAAAACAAATGAATGAATGATCAACACATAATCATAGGCTATATAGATAGGGGTCATGGGGTGGGTTGAATTAGAAGCCTAAACTTTTGTCTCAACAAAACAAGAAGAAACATTGAAATATAAAAAATTATCACCAAGGAATGATGATGTTTAAGACGATGGATAGTTTTAGAGAGAGAAAAGGGGGAGTAATTATGATACCTTTTCTGATCGTCGTGACGACGACAGACAAAGAAGGAAGGATGAAAACGGCAAGAGGATGGGCTATTGGATGAGGGACTGTATGTTTGTTTGCACCTCTTGCATACCTTCTCCTCCTTCTCCTTACTAATTTCTTCTTCTTCCACTATTCCTTTTTCGCCCTCTTTCATTTTAGTTTTAGGCTCTGCACACACGCACACTCCCCCATTGTGAGATTTGGTATCATAAATTATAAAAAGGTTAAGTGCACTTACACCCTCACTAATGCATAAATTGCACAGGGTGCTCTCATAGTTTTAAAAATGACAACGAACCCTGATATTTATTCATGTTTTGTAACACTTACACCCCAACCGTGTACGGAAGTGCTAAAATTACCATATAACCCTTGCACTTTAAATGTATTTTGAAAAAATTATACTGACTTCCCTTAAAATTTTATCAAATTACACACTGACGGACGTTTGGGGTTTTTGCACAGGGTACTCTCATAGTTTTAAAAATGACAACGAACCCTGATATTCATGTTTTGTAACACTTACACCCCAACAGTGTACGGAAGTGCTAAAATTACCATATAACCCTTGTACTTTAAATGTATTTTGGATAAATTACACTGATCTTCCTTAAAATTATATTAAATTACACACTAATGAACGTTTGGGGTTTATTATTTTATTGTTTTGACCTCTCTTGAGACTTTTAATGGACTAATTGATGTTAATTATGTATTTGAAAAGTCAATTATACCCTTATTTGCAATTTATTATTTTAATGTAAAATATTCATTTATTCTCTCTCATCTCTTCTTCCCCTCTCCACCTCGGTTCCTCATGCCACCGGAACCACCTCATCCAACCAATATTGCCACCAGTGTACCCCATCTCTCTATCAACAACAAATCATATATCTTTATCTATATTATTATTAAAATTACAAAGAGTTTAGCACATTATTACCTTTTCAGTACATTAAAAAGTTTCACTACATTATTTTATAATAAAAATATAATAAAAAAGAATATGAACAATAATATAACAATTGGAAATACTAAAATTCAATAAAATGAAATCTAACTAGATAAGGAAATATATAATATTAAAAAATTAAACTACTAAAATTTCAAAAAAGAAAATTTATTTCTAGAAGGAAATATATAATATTAAAAAAAAATAGTTATTTAATTCAATAAAATGAATCTAATTAGAGAATGAAAAATTACTAATAATAATAATAAAATAATAGTAAGAAATACTAAAATTTAATAAATAAAAATCTAATTAGAAAAGAAAATATATAATATATACTCCATTAAAATACTTATATAATAATATAGTAGTAGAAAATACTACTAATAATAATAATATAGTAGTAGGAAATCTAATTAGAGAAGTATATATATATATATATATATATATATATATATATATATTATTTAAAAATTAAATTAATGAAATTTAATAAAAAGAAATCTAATATAATTTTAAAAAATTTACTTATTTAATTCAACAAAAGAAAACCAAATTAGAGGAGAAATATGAATAATAATAATATAATAGTAGAATTTAGTGACATGATATAAAAGAAAATCTAATTAGAGAAAGAAATATATAATTTATTTCAATAAATACATAACAACAATTCTATATCAAATATATCAATTATTGGCCACCTCCAGCATAACTAGGGCAATTTCTGGACTTTTTCCTTCAACACCCGAGTCTCCCCAGCAAAGCTAGGCCAGTGTAATACCCCTAATTTATGAGATTTATTTAAGTGTTTTAATTACATTTTTATTTAATTATGTGGTTATTTTTTTATTTACTTTTATAGTTAATTGTGTGATTATTTGATTAATTGCTTTATTTAATTATTTTATTTGGTTTAATTTAAATTCATTGATTTGGCTAATTGTGTATGTACATTCTTTTAATTGATTTCATGTGTGATGTATTTATTTAATTAAATGGCTTTTAGATGCATAATTGTTTAGTTAAATTGTTTATTTATGTTATTTTTATTTTATTTTAGAAGGTTATAAATTTGGATTGTAGTGTTTGGATCAACTAGATGGGTCTTGGACTATTTAGAAGGAATCCTAAATTGCAATTTTGGGCTGCGTTTTGGCATGAATTATAGCTGCACTTTATATGTGCACAATTTTGTTTTCCTTTCCTGTATTAACTTGGTTATAATAAAAGCATGAGTGCTTACTTTCAGCTTTGCTATCTATACTTTTATACTTGGCGCTTCAGTGTTGTTTTAACAAATTTTTAGGTCCAAGTTCGAGAGAGGATATTTGGCATCTCCTCGTGGGATTGGCTACATGGCATGTGTTGCTTCCCACACTTGGTAGTGTTGCTTATTTTTCACCCTTATGCTTTTTATTTTATTTTTTTGTACTTGAGTTAAATCATCTTTGTTTTCGAGTTCATTAAAACCCTCTTCAACAACATTCTATAACTTCATTGATTTGAGCAGCACCTTTACATTATTGCTCCAATAATTATAATTGTCTCCATTGAAGCGAGGAATAAGAGAAGCCCAATTGCTTGTGTTTGCCATGAGATAATTGTGAAATTTTTTTGCTACCTTTTTGTTTTAAAATTGGCTCTGATACCAATTTATAGGAAGCACTCAACGTGAAGAAGGAAAACATATACAACTTTTATATAAAACTTTCAAATTCTGATATATTCTTTCTCACATCTTCCTTACAAAAGAACTTAAGAACATGTATTTATAGGTACCAATACATGACTCTAGAAAGATACAAATTACAAGACAATAAATAAAACAATAAGTTTAATACAAGTGTTTCATCTCTTAATGAAATAGTGCATGCATTCCACACATGAGTTGGTTCATGTATTTGGTTTATTTTTCCAACGGTAATTTTTATTATTATTATTATTATTAATTGGTACTCCCACACACATATTTAAGAATTTAATATCGCTAGGTAATTGATCCGTTGATGTTAATTTTTACTTCTAAGTGGGTTTAGGGTTTTCAGCTGGCAGAATGTTCCTTGTATAAATGTAATTGGTTTTCAACTTTTGTTGGTTGATATAAAATGATTAATTTTAATAATAATAATAACAATAATAAATAGTTGTTATAACAAAACAAACAAATTAATACTAACATGCGGAGGGAGAGAGAGAGAGAGAGAGTTGATTTGCGTGTCATGTTAACTATAACAATTATTCAGGAAGAAAAAAAAAAAAAAAAAAACTATAACAATTACAATTCTTAATTATTGAACTCTGTGAATAATATTCTTTGACATAAGTTCCAAAAAATATCAATTCAACCTGTCACTTTTCTAATAATATAGAGATAGAAGCACATGCTTTGTTCAAACCAGGGCTCGCTTGAGACCTCTCTGAGAGCATCTACATCTGAGAATGACATAAGAAATGAACCTGTATACAGCAATGAAGCAGACCATGATGACCACATTCCTCCATCTACTTTCCTCTCCATATCCTTCCTCTCTAAGCACATCCTCACCACCCATCACACATGTCCCAAATGCGTAGTCCAAACACTTCCCTGAACCAGAGAACTCATTTATCAAGAACCCCTCAAATGGGTACTTGAACAAAGATACATAATGCATGAAAATCCAATAATTAGGTATCCCATGTTTGGATATGAAGTAACCGGAGAACAAAAAGAATGACCCCATCACACCAGAAATCACCGAGTTTCCGACAATGAAATTGGGAACAAGAGCACTGAAACACACCACAACTGAATTGGCGGTGTAGAGAATCAACCAAATCAACAACAAGAAGTGCATGAAAGCGCTAAAACTCCTATTGAGACCCACAAGCCAATACAATGGTACTGCAAATAACAATGCCAGGATGAGTAGAAATGGCAAGTAAACAAGACCATTGGCTATGGCATATGATGAGACCCTGTAGCTCCCACAAGATGTCTCCTTCATTAGTATCTCCCTCTCTTGCAAGAATATGGGTAGAGCTTCAATGGTGCTCGATAATAAAAAGGTCAGAATGAAGGCAAATAAGCCTACCCTTTCTTCAGCTCCGACTATATTGTCCTTAAGATCATAGAAGATGGACCCCAATACTAATCCCGTGATCAACATTTGCAGCGTCCGGCATGCGAACAGCTCCTTGGTTCGAAAGATGTTTTTTGAGAACCTATGAGTGAGTATCATGGTCTCTTTCAGTCTAGAATTTGCGAAACCGGTAGGAAGATCGATCCCATCAGTATCATCGATGATGATGATTTCTTCGTCAATAACCTTAGATTGTTGGAAGAGTTGTTGTAGGGTGAACTTACCACTTGTACTCTCACCTTGTTTTTTAGATGATGGTAACTGTGCTGCAGGTACCATTTCTTGGTGCTGGTGCTGGTGATGTATTGCTTCCTGTTGTTTGATTGTTTCGATTGACTCAATCGCGAACTCCACTAAGTTGACATGAAGAGGAAGTTGTAACCCCATTAACTTCAACTGCACACCAAGCTGATCAACAGTGCCATGATGCAAAACTGATCCATTTGCCAACAGAAGAATGGAATTGAACAACTTCACAATCCGAAACCCGGGTTGATGTATACTGAGAATTATTGTACGACCTCCGGTTTCAGCCATGTCTTTCACAATGTCAATAACTTGTAAAGCCGATGTACTGTCAAGTCCTGAAGTGGGTTCATCGAGAATTAGAACTTTTGGATCATGAATGACCTCCACACCGATCGACACGCGCCTCCGTTCACCGCCGGAGATCCCACGGACTCTGTCGTCGCCAACCCGTGTCCCGGCTACGTGACCTAGCCCCAGTTCGTAGATCAAGGACTTAACCCTTGAGGTCAGCTGTGATTGAGGAAGCCTCAACCGGAGCTTTGCACTGAACATTAGGGTTTCTTCTACTGTGAGGAGTGGAAACAATGTGTCCTTCTGTGTGACATACCCGGATATTTTCTTGAACCGCGCTTTGTCAATGGGCTTCTGATTGACAAAAATTGATGCACTTGCCGGCGAGAGTTTTCCGGCGAGGATCTCGAGTAGCGACGACTTTCCCGCACCACTGGGGCCGATGATGGCCAGGATTTCCCAGGGTTTCGCCCGGCAATTGACATCCGTTAGGACGTGCCTTACTCTTGATCTTGAAGTACTGTTCTTAATGTAGTCATTGGGTGGTTCTTCTAACTCTTGGTGATCTTGTAGTTGTTGGTTTTGTAATTTGCTGAAAATCTTAAAAGGGTGTTCTCTGTTTTGTGTATGGATTTTGTAGTTGATTCCTATGGCTTCAATCTCACAGCCTTGTTTCTTCATTGAAGAATTGTCCCTCTTTCTCTCTTTGGCTACTCAAGTTCAAGTTGTGTATACTTCCAGTACTACCATTTTTCTCTCTCTATATTTGAAGTTGGAAGTGATTACCTGTAATTTCAATTATGTTCTCAATATTATTACACGGTTCACGTGAACCTGTTCTTGCCACATCTCTGCTGTCATTTTGTCATATGCAAACTTTTCCGGTTGTTCACGTGACGTGGTACATTCAAGTGTTTTTTATTTTATTAATTTATTTACAAAATATATTTACACGGTTCACGTGAACCTGTTCCTGCCACATCTGTGCTGTTCATTTTGTCATATGCAAACTTTTCCCCTAGTTCCCGTGACATGGTAGATTCTAGTGTTTTTTATTTTATTAATTGTAGTAGCTTTGTTAATAGCTTTTATTTATATTTATATATATATTTATATTTATTTATTTATTTTTGGATGGAGAGAGAAGGGAAGTGTAAAAAAAACACAAAGAACTATTGAAATATTATAACATGTCCCCTTGAATTATTTTTTTTTGGAGCAAGTCAATTTTTAACTATACAAATATTGCATATTGCTCCTTTTATGTCACTTGGATAACACACTCGAGCAGTTGAAGCGTCACCTAACTTAATTCTTGCTTTTAATGGCCAAAATGCCCTTGCATATGACCATTGTACCCTCATTCCTCTCTGTAAGAAGCCATATGTTGTTTAACGGAATTCTGTCTCGTTCTTACAATTCTACTGAATTAAAGTCTTTTTTTATTTTTTATTTTTATCCAACAGATAATAAAACACCACACAAGGAAGATTATCAATAACAGCTAAGGACATAATATGCCCAGGGATAAACTCCAATTCAACATTGCAAAAGGGACGGCTTTTGTAAGGTTTTGTTGTAATAACCCTGTCATTTTTCTTCATTTTATTTTTTTCAAATTTTTAAGGATATTTTTTTTTCGTTGATCTTTTCTTTTCTGAGTTCGGTTTCTCGCCACTTAGTATCGTCTTGAGTGCTCTGGAATGGTTTCCGAGACTCTTTTCTTGAATTGACAACTTTCTTTGAGGACCGCTTTAATTTCACATTTTCATTTTTTTTGACACTATTCACTTTTTTTTTTTTTTCCCTGTGCACTATTCATTTTTCGTCCTTTCCCCGTTGGTCACTTTGTTGGCATAGCCTCATCTTTTGTGTTTGGAATTGGTTTTTGACTTCACGTACCTTCATTCCTTGTGGTTTCCACGAAATACGTATCTTTACTTTTGCAAAAAAGTACTCTGGTTACTCCCGGTGTCCATAGGAGCATAGATGTATAGCTCTTTGGAAACATTTTTTTTTCTTGGCGTGTTTTTCATAAATATCTTTTGAAGATATTTTATTTCAGGGGTTTTTAAGAAAATATTTTTGGAAGATATTTTCATTCTAGGTCATTAGTGCAGTTTTCACTTTTTGGATAGCCATTGTGCAATTAATGAAAGTTATTGCAAAATACCTTATTTTGAGCCTGAGTCCTCGTACGGGATTCATTTTCACTTTTTGTCGAGTCGTGTACTTTTAGAATTTCCTCCTAGTCATTTTTCTTCAGTTTCAGAGTTTCTGACCCCGGTTGCTGCCAAACTTGTTTGGGGCATATCTATCTGCTCGGGACTCGGTTTTTAATGCCGTTTCTTCCGTTATTCATCTTTTCTCATTTCGGTTCTTTTTCGTTCACAGAGTTTTGCCATTTGAGTGCGTCTGCTCAAATTCCACTTTTCTGGACCCGGCGGGGCCCTTTCTGAGTTTTTCTATAAATAGGGGATGAGCTAAGGGAAATCAGATATTTTATCTCTCTCTCCTCTCTCTTGGCCGGATTCCATGGCAGCCATGGCTGTCACCTTCTCTCTCCTCTTTTGGGCCTCTTCCCTTCAATAAAAAGTCATAGTGCCTTAGTGTTTTATGTTCGCCTTGACGAGGCCTTCGATTCCACCGATTGGAATCTCGTTTTGGCCAATTTTTGAGTTTGGGTTTGAGGTCAAGTTTGGATTTTGGTATGTCCTTTTTAGAGTTTAATGTTCACCGTGTTGTCTACGACAAAACCCAAGAGTATCGTTGGATTCGAAACCATTTCATTTCGGTGGGGATTTGAGATTTCATCTCAAATGGAGGTAGGGGATGTTATAGTTTATATTTTTGTTATCTTGCATGCTATTGATGCTTATATGACATGTATGCATGCTTTAGTTCAAGTTCTAGAATTTAATTTAGTTATTTTCTATGTTTAAGATTTAATTCTCATGATGGTGTACAACTTAGAATTAAATTGTGGCATGCTAGGAAATTAGGTTTTGATATGTTTGTTAACATATATTAAATTCGAATTATTTAAATAAGAATTACATTTTTTATTTAATAATTATCTTTTGTAAAAGTTTAATTCCCATGTATGTACTTTGCATGAAATTAACTTGTGACATGCTTTTAAATTAAGTCTTGGCATGTTCTTTAATATACTTTGATTTGAGAGTATTTGGACAAGTTTGAAAATCTAAAGATTTTAATTAAAAGAATTTATTAAAATTTATTTAAAGGTTTCATTGGCTTAATTGAGTTTTTAACTTGATATTTGTAATGACTAGGACTTGTTTACTAGTATTTATTAAATTGAGACCATTTGAAGTTACTTTAAAAGTTAGAGATTTAGTTATCATGATTTAATTAAATTCTACCTTATTGTTCCATTGGCCTAATTGAGATTTTGAATGGATATATGTAATGACCATGCTATGTCCTTTAACATATATTAATTTGATGTCATTTGGAAATGATTTGAAATCTAGAGAATTTAATCATCTTTATTTAATTAAATTCTATCTCGTTGTTCCATGGATTTAATTATGTTGTAGATATTGTTTCCATATTTAGATCGTGGATTTGGACTTGTTATGCATTCACGTGGTTATGCTTTAAGCATTGAGTAACATTGTTGTTAAAATTATATTCATGAGAACATGTTTCTAATATTGAATATATTATTGTCTTGTGTAGTGAATTGCACACTTCGTATTTGACATTATATATATGCCATTTTAGAATTAAAGTTCTAAGGTATGGATTGTGTAGTTTCAACCTACTTGTACATGGAAGGTGGTTTCGTGCATTATATAAATTACGTATAAGTTGTGGACTTATTTAATTATTTTGGAGTCACTTAGGACATTGTTACAGAGATATGGCTAGAGTTTGACTTTAGTACGGGAGGTATGAGTTCTCCCTATTTTATAGTGCGCACTAGGGTGGTCTTCCCAGCAGGTTAATGCCCGAAATAATCGTTTAGGTCTTAGTTTTATCCGAGATTTGATGTCCAAGTATCCACTATTTGATTTCGCATTCAATTCCAAGTTGACAATCAATGTTTAATTGTGACTTGCGGTTTTGGGTTATTGGCGATTTAATGTTGTTAAGTACATTTATGCATTATGATTTTTAAGGAATCATCATATGCCTTTGATATTGTTAAGTACATCTATGTTAAAATATTCAAATGCAGCTTAGGAATGATCCTATAGATTCATTTGGAACATAGATGTTAGGTGGCATGACCCACTTTACTTGTTTTCGCATTTTAGATTTCAAGTTGATAACTTTGGGAATCTATGTCTTGATGTGTTGTATTAGAAATTCTAATTATATTAAATTGTTATATTTAGTTGTTTTCGTACTTTAGATTTCAAGTTGATAACTTTGAGAATCTATATCTTGTTGCTTTGTATAGCATGCTTCTATGTTGGTTAAATTGCGTAGATATTGTGATTTGTGTTTTGTTGTTCAAATGTAACTTAGGAATGATCCTATAGATTCATTTGGAACATAGACGTTAGGTGGCATGACCCACTTTGTCGTTTTCGTATTTTAGAATTCAAGTTGATGGCTTTAATAATCTATATCTTGTTGCTTTGTATAGCATTAACTTATGTTGTCTGGGATTGCATGAATAATGTGATTTATGTTAAAAATGTTTTAAGGTAACTTAGGATGCTCTCTGAGTCTCACATTTGACATAGACATTAGGTGGCATGACCTTTTGACTTGTTTCACCTTAAGGTGATAATCTTGTAAAACGTTAAGTCTATGCATGCTCATCTCCTACGAGTAGCTTTATGTTACTCACCCCAAAGTTACCGAGGTTATTTTTCAGGTACAGTCAAGATATGAGGATTTGCATTGCCTTGGATGAATTATAGTTTTGAAGTTCATCTTAAATCATTCTTGTTCATATGCAAGTGTTAACATGTTTAAGTTTTACTTTTGAAGTTGTAATACTTAGTTAGGTTCAATATGCCGTTTTTGCCTTATGATATGTAAAGTGTACTTGGATATACTATTTGGAACCTATTTGATATGTATGATTTATGGCTAAGGACCACCAATATTTAAGTTCAAGTGTTTGTATTTAAATTCCAAGTTTTGCCCTTGAAAATGTAATTTTTCTAACTTGGAGGTTTGGCATGTGATTTGGAGTAAATGATATGCAATAAGGCCATGGGCCATTGTAACACACTTCATTTTGTAAAGTACACTTGTTGGCATGCTTGTATAACTTTAAATCTTGTTTTTGGACCAAATTCATGTTGGGGTTTGAGGCTTGGGCGAAGCCTCAACAATTCTTGTTCATAACAGGTCTTTCATCACCATTTCGAGTCATTTCGGTCGACCATTTCTTCATTTCGGTTGACCGATGGCCTTTGGAATTCATTTGAACATTAAAAACACACTTTTCAGTAGCCATTTTCACTGTTCAGGCTCATTTCGGTCGACTGACGCCTTATTTCGGTTTACCGAAATGACTTTTCTTCAAAATTCAGTTTTCTGGGGAGTTTTTAGACATTTCAGTTGACCAAAATGGCTATTCACTTAGCTGCCTCTCAGTTTGTTTCAGCACTATTGTTCCAATTTCAAACGGTCATATCTCCTTTATTTCTAACTCAAATGGGGTGATTCTTGAGCCTAAATTCAAGGATTTTGAGTCAGATTTCCAATGGTACTAATGCCATTCTCAGATTCCACTCACAGTGAGAGTTATTCATGTTTTAGTGTGATAGTGTCAGATTTTATTCGAACCGGGAATGGGCATTTTGT